CTCTGAGTTGATCAAACTAGATTGAACCTGGTGCTCTAAGCGGCTATGACATTCAAAAACACTCATTTCCAACACCTTTTGCCACAACAGATTCTCTCTTCCTACGGTACTTTTCATCTTGCTCACTAATTTCCTCAATTCCAGGGATATCGTGGTCAGTCTGCCTTTAAGCCTCTCTCTAAGCTTTGCTTTTTCTAGATAACCTATCCTGACTCAGGACAGGCTAAGAAGCATGAGAGCACATTGAACACATTCTCAAATGGATAAAACATAAAGTGACATTTTATCATGTCTATTACCATTATCGATGAGAACACTGTACATTTGATTCTTCAGCCCTCCTGGACACTGTAGTCTCTGGTCTTCACCAAATACTAATAAATACTTCTCCAGAATGATTAGTGTTTAAGTTGCTGTCAAAAAAAAAAAAGAGAGAGAGATATACATCTTTAATAAAACTGGCTCCAGAACAAAGACAAAGTATTTTTTTTTGACCCCCATGGATAGTTTAGGAAAAATAAAACCAAAACCACCACCGTCGCTAACTGGCTTGAGCTGGAGTTGGGTGGTATTACGGTGTGCCATAGGTAGCTTGCAGAGGAACCAGGACTAGCATCATACACTGCGTTCTTGAGGTCAGCCTCCCCTTCCTGAATCTGTAAATGACTTAACTACGGCGTAAGGCCTAGACCTTTATTACAAGAACAGCAACAAAAAATCTATATCTACATATCAGAACTTAACCTACAACAGGCAAGCAGCAGAGTAAACCTGTGCCTTTAAAAAATGCAGTCGACAAAATGAAGCAGCTCAGCTCTGGACAAACAAAAGTTGACATCCTCCGCTTGTATTATTTTTATTCTGACAACTTACATTCCACATCAAACCAGTTACTCTTATACAATTAATTGTAAGGCCCAAGAAAGATGAATGATAAACAAACTAGTTTTTAAAAGCAAAGAGTTATTTGCTGGCTCTTTAAAAAATAGAGAACAGAGTGTTTAATAAAATTCATTAAAACATTCCCTGGGCCATTTGGCTCCTGTGCATTTTTTTCAAATGTGCTATCTGCTTAACAACTGGACAGACTCATCCAAGAGGACAGGCTTTTGCCCTTGGAGAGCAAGAACAAGGACTAAGTCAATATAAAGTTCAAGTGACTTAAGGTGGGGTAATTCAAATCTTGCTGCTTGGCATTGCACACCAGAAGCTAGAGTCCTTGTCAAAGGTGTACTAACTTCCCAGATCGACCATAATGGCTCTTGTTGATGTGCATATATCATCCATACAACCCAGAAAGAATCCCAGCCAGGCCAGGCCTGCCCCCAAGCAACTGATGATTAGCTATTACAAGGGAAGCATTTACTTATTCACAGCAACTAGTTTTCAGAAGGAAAGGCACAGAGGTCTGATTTTAAATGCTGCCTTTTCTCTACGTCCTATGGCCAATCAAGATCACCCACTTCTTGGAAGTGTCGGAAGCCCATTTTTATTTTCTTCTTGCTGTTTTCACCAGCATATGGATAAAGAGCAGACAGCAGTTGCTATGATGCAAAGAAAAATGCCTTGGCAGCTGAGGGCCCTCCATCTATCAAGGGGAATTTGCAGTGTTGCCTCTCTTCAATACTATATAGATTTGCAGGATTTTGTGAAACACTTAACCCAAATGGAAGGATTTAAACACAGAATGCAAGATATAGACACAATCATTTTTCTTTAAAAAAAAAAAGATGCTTTAGTTTTAATTCAGAATTTTCTAGTCTTCCATGCTTAACCATGCAGCAGTGATGATCACCCCTGGGTAATACTTTTAAAAGGATGATTAGCTAGCACAGACGGCTTCAATGGCTTCAATGTATTCACTGTATCCCAGATGCCTCAAGACCAAAGCCTCTTCCTGGAACTGCACACACCACATTCAATTGTGGGGAAACAAACACTTACCTAGTGAAATGACAATATTCAGAAGCAACACTGAGCTGTAACCTAATTCCAAGTGTTTAGAATGATATGTAAAACTCTAGAGAAGGTCTAGTAAGATGTTGACCTGTGATTCAACGAATACCTTGTGATATGCAGACAGTTCTTAGATACATCTGCCATATGGAGGAGAAGGATGGCTTAGCCATTTCTTTCTACTGACCCAATGCCCGCTGGACTTTCTACTCCCGCGTCTTTGAGTTACAGAGGGCAGTAAAGCCAGCCCCTTTCCCTAGGAATTCGGGTTCTCCACCTCTTTTCCGTCTTTTCTTCCAGGGCACAGTTGATAGGAAACAGCCTCCTGCAGACTCTGGGCTGTGGCTTGTGGAGGCACTTTAGATAGAGCGCCAGCGCAGAACGAAACTGGAAGGCTGGTGAATGGCCAGAGGAGAGGGGGGACTCCCAGTGGAGGGGGTACTCCCAGGAGGAACCCAGGCGGACTTCACAGAATGCTTCAGCACTTTGTGGAACCAGGGACTACAGGGTTTAATCCAGCAATTCTTAAAAGGCAGCCTGGATTGGGGGGTGGAGTTTGAAGTTAGAAGTCACATTTGTAGCTGAACCCAGAGCCAAGTCCCCCCCAGAGCACAACTGCTAGATGGGGTGGGGGTGGACGTGGGGGTGGGTATACCTCTGCTTTGGGAGCCGAACTCTAAGAGTAAAAGCAAATATTTGTTGCTGAAGAGCTCTTAAGAACTGAAGAGCGCCATTTACTTATTTCTACACGTCAGTGTGGGCTTAGGATGTTAAATAGATTAAAAGGCTAAGAGAGGTCATTTACCCAAGGAAAGACTCTTCGTTGGCTCCTCCTGACTCGTTCTCTTTCCAAAATTGTTGTGCCGTCCCACCCTCCTCGTGTGGAGGGTCCTTAGGGGAACGAGAAGAGGTACTATCCTCTCGTGCAGACACGGGGATGCGGGCGTCAGAATCCTCAGGATATGTCAGAGCGGAGGGAAGGAGGGTGCGGGGAGGGAGTCAGAGAGCCCCCCAACACACGGACTCCTACAGCCAGAGTCTCCAGACATTTCCCCATCTATCCTGCTTCAGAGTCACCAGGTGACGCTGCTTGCTAGCCAGGGACAGAGCTTGAATTCGAACCGACTTCGTGGAGGCCAGAGCTCCCGCCCCTTTACTGGCCCTGAAGTTCAGGTCCGATTTGGGGAGTCTGTCCCAAGATATCCCTCTCTGTGCTTACGCTGTTCAGCGCCCTCCTTCTGCTTCCTGCTGCGGAAAAGGCTGGCAAGCATCACCCTGCGTGGGGATGCAGCCAGAGACAGCGCAAGAGGCCCAACGGTCATGTTTCACCAACGGTGGACTCGGGAACGTGATGCAGGCGTGGGTGCCCGGGGCTGGATGTCCACTGGTCTCCTGCCTCCCCCTCCCCCTGCTTGCCCTCTGGCCCCGTCTGCAGGGAGAACAGCCAAGTCATTTCAATTTAATCTTATTTAAAAAGACATAACTAATAAATCTATTGCCAGGGCCAGGGAGAGACGGCCAGCAGAGTCGATCGTGCTCCCAATCCCATTGAACACCATTGAAAACCATGACAACACCGGACAAGCTCTGATTTATCCTGGCGCGTTAAAGCGTATTGTGAGTAAGCGTCAATCACGTATTATTCCGAACTGAACAAATGCAAAATCTTGACTGGAACAAATGCTTCCAACAGGTCCGGGGCGTCGAGCTCCATTTCCCTTTTGTCCATGGCCTAACAGTTGGCCTGTATTGGGGTTGCCTCCGCCCGACCACCCAACGCGCAGCGCAGCCCCCGGCACCTCGGGCACACTTTGGTGAGGGAGGCTGCTGGGGAGGGCGCGCGGGGGGCCGCCGAGTCAGGTTCGAATTCTGCCGCTGCAGAGCCCAGGACTTCCGAGCCAGGCCACCCAAGAGCAGCGCCCTTGGCTAAAGCTTAGCAAACCCCCAAATTACTGCTGCAGGAAGAGAGACGTGGCCAGAGGCAGGCTGCGGGCCTGTAAAGCACTCCATGCCAGCCAGCTCCCCAATCTGGGTAGGGCTGCAGGGGTTGGAAGATCCGGAGCATCCCTACCCTTCCGGATTATTTGCCAGGTGGTCTCTGTCCTGGTTCTAAAGAGCCACCGGTTCCTGAACCAGGCCCAGCAGCCGCGCTGGAGTCTGCAGCTCGCGAGCAGGGAAGGGTGGGCCACAGGCGGGCTCTAGAGCGCAGACTGCAGCCCAGGCATTGGGGACTGACCTCAAGGGCACCCCAGCGGTGCTTAGTCTTAAAGTCCTAGGCCACCTAGCGAAGCACAGGGGTCCAAGAATGGGCCGACTCCTCAGAGCTCGATCACCAAGCCAAAGCCTCGCAAAGAGGCCCTGGACCCGGCTGGAGGCACCTGGCCATAAGCACCTCGGTCCTCCCCCACCACATCCCTCTTGTACAAACTCATTTGGGGCTGGGACTCCCTTTGGATCCCACGCCTCCTACCCAGCACCCTGGAGGCTGTGGGGGAAGTTCCCAGTGATTTTTGTATCCCTCGGTCTAGCTGAGGCAGCCCCCAGGGCTCGCTCTCTGTGCCCTCCTGGAACTTGTCTCCATGACTCCTTTACAGGGCCCCCACCTAAAAGGGACACAGAGCACGCTGCTTTTGTAAATCACTTTCCGGCTCCTTGCGGGGAAACCAACACTCTAGCAAACAAGCTCGAGGAATAAAGCAAACAGGGAATAAATTCCTGGGTGCCCATAAAGCCACTCGCACGCCTCCACCCCTCCCGGTGCTCCTGCCCCGCCAGACCCCAAGTCAGCGAAGGAGAAGTAAAACTGGGGCTGGGTCGGGCGGGTGGCGGCCACCGCTCGCCACCCAAGATGTTATTCACTGGTAACAATCCCCATTATCTGTCTCACTTTGGGCTAATCAGACAGAATCGCTAATGCCCAAGGCTGCTTCCTGCCGGGTCTGGGAGGTAACGGGGCGCCAAGGGGCGGGGCGGGGCGCGGGGCGGGGCGGGGGGGGCGGAGATGGCACCTTCCCGGCTCGTCCCAGCTTTGGTCAAGCGCTCAGTCAGGTACTTAGCGCCCTGCAAACTCGGATCTCGGCTTTCACAGCGGCCCGCGGTGGGGCGAGCTGTTTATATAAACAGGGATTCGGCTGTAAATGCGCTAATATCCCAGCGACCCGCGTATGGCTAACGTCTCCCACGCCCACCCATAGGAGCAGGAGCGGCGTCCCCAGCCGCCCCTCCGTTCCCAGTGGGCCCTGTCCCCGCCTCCGTCCCCGTCCTCGGCCATGGCCACCTCCGGACGCCTCAGCTTCACCGTGCGCAGACTCCTGGATTTACCCGAGCAGGACGCGCAGCATCTGCCTAGGCGGGAGCCAGCGCCGCGCGGTCCCCGGGTCACCTCCTGCTCTGTGTGGCTGGAGTCGGAGCGCGGCCACTACCCCTGTGAGTGAACGGAGACCTGCTGGGGCAGCTGGAGGGGTTGGGTGGGCAGAATCAGCCCCTGGCCCCTTGTGGGGCTGGGAAGCCACAATCTCAGCTGAGACTCTAACCCCTATCCCCGCCCCCCTCCCCCCGTGGCCACATCCTGGGAGCGGATCCCTGCGTGCAGCACTACTGCGCGCGAAATTTTACAATATTTACGTATTGAAAAGATTCCTCTTACCTGCCCGAAAACACAATCACCTCCAGGCCTCGAGCTGGAATGGGCAGCATTGGCTAGCTTACTTCTCACGCCACCCCCTCCACCCTCCCTTTGAGGGCTTTGCAAACCTCAGTCGGCCCGGAGGTGGCCCGCGTTGGAGACCCAGTTAGCAATGAATGGCTTGGCCGGCGCAACTGCCAGTTCGGACATCTTAAGAGGACCACAAGATGGGGGTTTTTTGAGGGGGGTACGACCTTGGGTCTGGTGATTACTCGAGGTATGACTGTCACTGAATTGGGAAAGGTAGGTGCCCGGATGTGGACGCAGGGAGAGAACATGGCCTAGGCCTGAAAGCCGCAGGGGCCGGCGTCTCACCAGCCGTGTCTCCTTTGCCGTCCCCAGCCTCGGACGAGAGCAGCCCGGAGACCGGCCCGCCCGACTCGTCGCAGCGGCCGCCTGTCCTGCCCGCATCTCCGGGTTCAGACGCCGAGAAGAGGAAGAAGCGGCGGGTGCTGTTCTCCAAAGCTCAGACGCTGGAGTTGGAACGGCGCTTCCGGCAGCAGCGCTACCTGTCAGCGCCCGAGCGCGAGCAGCTGGCGCGCCTGCTGCGCCTCACGCCCACGCAGGTCAAGATCTGGTTCCAGAACCATCGCTACAAACTGAAGCGCGCGCGCGCGCCGGGAGCCGCCGACTCGCCGGAACTGGCGGCCTGCGCCGAGGCGTCCGGCGCGCCCAGCCTGCTGCGCCGCGTGCTGGTGCCGGTGCTAGTGCGGGATGGGCAGCCGTGCGGCGGCGGCAGCAGCAGCGAGCCGGGCCCCGCCGCCGCCCCGGACAAGTGCGCCGCGCTCCCGGCCGCCGCCTGCCCCCTGCCGGCCTACGCCGCCTTCGGGCCCGGCTCGGCACTCGGCCTCTTTCCTGCCTACCAGCACTTAGCGCCCCCAGCCCTGGTCTCCTGGAACTGGTGAGGCAGCCGGGGTGACCCCCAAACTTTGGAGCGTGTTCTGAGGGCCGCAGCAGGGCTAGAGGCCGACACCTGGAGCCCTCGGGGGGAACGCCTCCCCGCAGGCCGCACCTGCTCGGGAGCTGGGGGTCCTCTGTCGGGTGGGCCCGCACCAAGGGTGGCCACAGCCTAGCCGGGACCTGTTCCCTAAGCCATCTCCTCTCCCTTGCCCTCAACCGCCAACCCTAGACCTAGATTTTATTGCCCTTGCCTTGTTTGTATATTTTTAAATAGTGGTTTGTATGGGAAGCGACTTATTTTACGAGAAATAGAGTATTTTTCCCCTTTTGGTGGTGCGTGAGTCAAATGTAAGCTTGGGTGCCCTGTGCGCCTTGTGGAGAAGGTTCTGGGGAGCGGCGGGAGTTGGACGCGCCCGCGGAATGCCTTAGAGGGCACCGCCCGCTGGATTCAAGGGCGGATGTGAGCCTCACCTGGCTTCAGAAAGAAACTGAGTGTGGAAGGATTGGGGAGGGGTCCGGTGGCTGAGGCAGTCCTGGGGACCTTTGCTAGACGCCGGGGTCATACTTGTGGGTCACTAGTGCTGCAAGGACGCTCCAGCTAAGTCAGCCCGCAGCGCACTGGAGCAGCCCAGATCTGGCCGGAAGCTGGCAGTCTCCAAAGATGGGTGATACTGGTGATTCAGAGTGGGCCCCGGGGTGATCCTGGCGCCTTCTGCAGAGGCAACACCTGGCTGTAGTGGGATGGAGCGGGCGCGGCATGGTGAAGGAAGCTGGCGGGAAGTGACGCCGCGGACTCGGAAAAACTGGGCTGTGGCCAGAGGGAGGACCGTCTGGGGGAGACTTGGCATGCCTTCGGGACGGAATCCACTGGACCAGCTCACTTCACACTCGCTGCGGGGGCGCGCTAGGCCGGGGTGGGAGAGGTGGCGTTCTACGCCTTGCATCTGTAACTGCTCTTGGCCTCCAGAGCCCTGGTGCCTCCTAGGCGCCGGCCACGGGGTCCCGGAAGGGAGGAAGCGCCCCTGAAGGTGAGTACGGAGTAAGCCCTGGGCTTTCTGGTCCCGACGAGGAGGAAGGGGGAGGGGCGCCGTTATCACCTGGGATTTTGGGGAGCCGGGGAGAAAGCAGAGGGCAGAGGGGGAAGGGAGTGGGATGTTTAGGTCTCAGCTGCCGGCCACCTTGCCTTCCATATGGATGCGGTTATCTTAGAAGAATCTCGAGCCTTAAATCTCCTTTTGTTTTGGGAACTGAAAAGGGTATTGTCAGGCCTGAAAGGGACCTAGACAAAATCCGCACTGTTTAGATTCAGGACTGTTTAATCAGTCCCTGGTGACAATGTAGTGGGTGTTAGGCCGGACAATGGTATCTTTTTAAACCTTGTGGCCTTCAGGAAGACAAAGGGCTTGAATTTTATGGCCTTACAACTTCAATTAGAACAGTGCCAGTGTGCTTGGGAGATTATCAAATTTGTATCATAAAACCCCTTTCTAATAAATGATTCTGGGGAGTGTAGGACATATCTTGAGACCTGCCAGGGGGCTTCCCTGGCAGAGCATGTGGGGAAGGGAAGGAAGAGCGATCCCAGAGGAGACCTAGCAATGTGGAGAGGGCTTATTTAACATGAGGTCTGTAGGACTAAAGGTTTGGACCCTGGACACACCTGCTTCCCAGGTGCCTGTCTGGGAGAGCATCTCCTCAACGCAGTCCATGATCATGATGTGAACCACGAGTTCATCATGAGTGAACCAGAGTTCTGACCCATTCTCAGCTTTCCAGAGCTTCCGCAGGATGAAGACCCAGGCACCCTGTGTGTGTGCTGGGTGGGAGGACACATGTTTCCTAGGAAAGTAGCATTAGGGGCCAAGATGTATGCTACCTGCTCTCCTAGACTCCCTGGGGACCTTAAAGCTGAAGCCCTTTGCTTACAGGTGAAAAACCACAGGGGAGAGTTAAAAATGCACTCAGCATCAGCCCATCTTAGGGACCCAAGCTATGCTCCTGTGATAAGTTTTGCGAAGTAAAAGATCCTCCAGGTTCTGAGTAAAGTTACATCCAGGCCCTGTCTATGAGCAGCTGGTAAAATGGTTAAGCTTCCCCTGCCTAGATGAAAATGTTCCAAGTCAGTCTCCCATTATCAACCTCCAAATAGGGAGTTCAAACTCAGCAAACTTTTCCTGAGACTTATGGTGTTCCAGGCATTTTCCTAAGGCAGTTGATCCCACAGAAAACTTATACATTGTCTTTATAGTACTCCCGTTATATAAGAAACTGAAGTTCAGGGCATGGGGCTAAGTGACTTGCCCAAAGCCATGAAAAACCTCACACAAGACTAGTTCATACTGAGTCACCCTAGAAGCTGCACTCATGGACAGTTGTAAACACACACACACACACACAATCACTTTCTAAAGTTATCTTAGCCTGCAGGGTTGAGAGAGCTCACCAAAAGCAGCCCAGGGCAATGCAGGCGCTGACTACAGACCACAGTAGTTGGTAATATTCACTGATGTTTTCTCTGTAGCAGGCAATATTCCAAATTTTCCCCTCACCTTGTTTCGTCTCATACCTCTTTGAGATGGTGGTACTATCTTCCCTTTACAGATGAGGAAATCAAGGGCCTACTCAGCTTGTCTGGGATGCTGCAGCCAGGAAGTGAACAAGAGGACCCGCCTCCAAGCCAGGCTGGAGATCTTGCACCTGCAACCGTATGGCTGGAACTACTTGACCATTCTTTGTTCAGGTTTTATTTCTTCCAGGCTAGATAGCCTTGGTTACCTTCCTCAGAGGTGCTGCTGCTCTCACATCCTGTTCTTGAGCTTCCTTCTGCCTCCCCATCTCTGTGTCAGTCTCCCCCATGCCCTGTCTAGGCAAACAGATTTTGGATTCAGCCTGTGTTTTCCCCCTAGATCTGTTTGTGTGCAGCCTTGTCCAACTCTCAGTGAAGCCTGGCTCTTGTCTGCAGGTCACAATATTCTCTTGTGACTATCATCCCACCATTCTTCTTCCAGGAAAACATCTGCTCGAGTTGCTGCCTGGACACCAATTGTGTGCTCTGTGTTGGGTGGAGCCACTGCTGACTCTGATAAGCTCCTCTAAGCCTTTCCCAACCCCCAGCCCCAGATCCCTGCTGAGGTCTGCCACTTTGGCTTTCCCAGCCCTTTCCCCAGCCATCCTTTTCCTTCCCAGGTCTTCAGTTTTATCTTTATTATTAAATAGCATCCTCTTCACATCTCTTTCTTGTTCCATTGTAAACATTTTCACTTCATCTCACTTCAGTCTCTTGCAGGTTGAGATTGCAATTCTTACTTCAATTTTCTTTCCTTATTGTTCAGAGGATCTTACATCTTAACACATCTCTTATCTGACCAATTTAGCACTTTAGTGTCTTAGATAATGTGCTATGATAGGCTAGAAGGAAGCTGTTTGAGCACAGGTTAACATATACCTTCCCTTCTAACAATGGTGTTTTGATGTTTATTATTATCTTGCCAGTTGACACAATTAATTTGCCTCTTCCTCTTTTTTTCTCTCTGCTCCGGCCAACAGAGCCAGTAACGTGGACAGGGAGAGAGAGGGTCTGGGGATGAAGCACCATCAGGAGACCAGTGATGGTAGAAGTCTCTGGGAAGTCTCGCTTTATTGCTCCTTCACCTCACCTTATATATTCTTCCCCCCAAGTCCTAATTGAGCCGGGACATTGGATACAGATGAGTCGAATTAGTCTAGGTGTTTTTAGCTACAAGCCCAGTTGCTGCTCCTGCCCATCCCAATGAGCGCTAATCTCTACCAGGTAAATTTGGGAATAAAATATCAAGCTGATAGTTGTAAGTTCAGTGTATGTTACTGTTTTGTTAGCCATGCTTATCTGTTTTGAGTGCTCTAGTTAGCCAACCTTGGAAGGTAAACATAAACAACAGATCGAAATACTAAGAAATTATTGTTCCTACCCCAAGGCATATTGATTTCTAAGGATGTTATTTATTTAGTAAGGATGTGCATTATTTAATGCAAAATCTACATGAGAAATTGTACCCCTCAAGGTCACTTATTTTTCCAAACCATGTTATGGGAAAGAACTTACTAAATGAAGCCTTCCTTGAAGTCCATTTTTGCGTGTGTTCACACTCCGGTATACTCCCTCCCCTACACAGCAAGAACTGGTGATGTGCTGTATTTCCTTTTCTCTGTTTCACCCTCCCCTCCTGTTATCTCACCTGTAAGTTCATCAGGGAACAATATTCTCTTCAATGCTGAGCCACAAGAGGCAGTCTAACAGTAGCAGAAACCAGAAGAGTGGTATAGGCTGACCGCAGTGAAGCTCCTCCACGCCAACTCTTTTCCACATCTACCCCAAATTTTGAAGCATAGGACGTCTCATTTTACCCAACCATGTCTGCTGGAGTTGTTTTATCATTTTTCTGGAAGAATAGCACCTTCACGTATTAGATGTAGAGGAGCAATTTCTCTCCAGTAATTTGTTCTGCAGACCAATACAGAATAGCTTGGATCATATAATTTCAAAAGGTGCTATAGTTTCACACAGTTTGAGCGAGTAGGTTGTCATAGAAAGAACATCTGAGATGACCTTGGTCATTCTTGATTCCCTCCTGCATTCTAACTGGAGGGTTCCTTCATATGTCAACAGATTTGAAAGTGCTTTCCTCAGCTGAAAGGTGTGCATTGGGCCAGTCCCACCCCTTCCCTCCTTTCACGTGGACTGGATAGGATATCTTGAAGAATGTAATAGTAAGGTCAGTAGAGTCTGTATGCTCAACAGGAGGCAAAGCATCCAAAAATCCATGAAAAGGGCCCTTGACTCTGTCACCTGAGAAGTCTTTTTCCTGTTAGGCATATCTTCCAACTTTACTGAAGGACAGTCCACTAAGCAGCTAGTTCTCTGGTCCTAAATACATTAGCAGGTTAGTTTTGTTTTTTTTTTTTTCTTTTATCACAAAGTATTTAAGCTGCTCTTACAGCAGGTTAGTTTTTAAATGATCTCCTGGGT